CCTTGACTTAGATCAGCCCAGAGGTTGTTTCAGGGTTCCATCTGTGAGTTAGCCGTGCCTTGACTTAGATCAGCCCAGAGGTTGTTTCAGGGTTCTATCTGTAATTTAGCCATGCCTTGACTTAGATTAGCCCAGAGGTTGTTTCAGGGTTCCATCTGTGAGTTAGCCGTGCCTTGACTTAAATCAGCCCAAGGGTTGATTCAGGGTTGAATTAGATTAGCCCAGAGATTTGAATTAAGCAAATTAAAACGCGATTATATTGGATTTCATTTTGTCCTCTTATGTTGTTTTAGCAATGGTAATCCAGTCACTAAGCAGACCGAGGAGACGCGAGTCTGGCAAAAGAAGGGAAACACGTGGTTGAATGTACATCTCCACATCTCCAACACCACAAGCCCCACGTCAAGTTAAGGTGAATTCTAGGCTATTAACAGCAAATTTTAGAACTTGGACTAGAGTCAATTACTTGCTCTGCTTTGAAGTAACTGAGCTTAAGTCACTGGACACCTTGCACAGTGCGAGCAAGCATGTATAGAAGAAACGGTCATTGACCTTTTATTAGAATGAAGGTATACTACTCCCTTAACGTTGTCATAGCAACACACTGCAATATACGAACACGTGATGCTAATGTATGTGTCGTTATTTGACAAGAGTGTTGTAGATGTAAATAATTATTCAATTGTGAGCTTTACGACTATTCTAATTAATGTATCATTATAATTATTATCAATAATGTAATAATCCTTATTGGCATATMTTAGTTTATTATTTCTATCGTATTTAAAAACCAATCTTTAAATTTATCGTAGGATTTCAATTTTCAAGTTGTATTAAGACTTAATCATATTTGTAGGCCCAATATGACGCAAAGAAAATTGTTTAGAAAGCCATTTGACTAATCATAAATGGCATACATCGTAGTCGAGTAACAAGCGTTCCTGTCACGCAATCATATAAAGTGACCGTCATGTGACTAGATTTGCTGTCACGAGTATATCACGTGACCGTCATGTGACTAGCTTGGGTTTCACGAGTATATAACATGAGCGTCATATGTACAAGTCATGTGACTAGCTGTATAAGAAAGTCCATGTGACTAAGGCAGTTTTGGTACTGGTTAGTGAGTGTAGGACGTCATATTTGCTTCAATACCATGCCTCGTTATACGTTGTTACAAAAATAATAGGCCGTTTTCATGAGGGTCGGGAGTCGCTGTTGCTATAAACAAGTCTTTTGTTTTTCTTCCCCGTGGGACTCCAGAAGCGAAAGATTTATCCCTGGTTATAATTAGTCTACTAACCCTACCTTTGTGTAAATGCCCTCTGAGAGACTATGGTCATGCGCATTTAGTGGCAGTGGTTGAGCAGTCAGTAGTCGAACCATTGGTTCCGGGACACATTAATCTCCGGCTTTTGTTAAATCAACCATCATAACCGCCATATACTTTGTTATTTCATTCTCTTGGAAATGATTGAAAAAACGTATTGATTAACGGCGCGTTACGCGGTCACTTAGCGGCATGGCTTTGACAATTTTTAGAGTAATATAAAATCGAAGATATGATCCCAAACCTACAGCAATAACCCCGTACTGGATTAACAACAGCAAAGGCACAATGACGTCACGTGCACAATATTAACAGAAGACAAGGATGAGTGATAGTTGGTTCCCAGTACTTGCTCATGGCATATTACACGGGAGGTCTGGTCACGAGTCTAAGATCGTGGATTCAAATTGTTAAACGAAAATAGAAACTGTTTCTCCTGTGAGACAGGAAACGGATGTACAAAAACTAGCGTACCAGACACATAGTTAAAGTTAACTAGTTTTAGTCAATTTATTTCTTTTTATAATGTTAGACCTTAAAACATCAAAAATCAGATTCTCGTACCCAAACCCTACTCAGTTTCGCTGTTAAGGGTCTGGGTACGAAAGTGCGATAAATCATAGTTTTAGGCAAATCTATAATCAGCTACAGAGAGAAAGCTAGTACCAGGTTTCCTCATAAAAACACCACTCGTTCTGGTCAAAATTAATAAATTATTTCAATTTTATTTTGTTTGACGTAGAAGTTATTGAAATTAGAAAAATTGTAAAATTTTAAATACACTTTGATGTGTTTAGGATAATCAGCAAAACTTGACCCAGGTCTCCTCACCATGATATAAAGGAGAGCCTGGAGGTGAATTACAGCAACAATAAAAACGAGACTGGATTTATTTTAATGTTCAAAAAATAGAATTGGATAAAGTGATTCATTTTGGATAAAGTAATAAATGGAAAATATTTGTGCGTAGACAATTATAAATATATTTTTCTTTAAACAGAGCACTTTTCGTGTAATGGGAAAAAATACTTTAGCGGTGACGAATTACCACGTTACCAGTATAGGTTTTGATTGGCTAAATCTTGAAACAATGAAAAGCCATTTCAGTGTTTCTCCATGCCGTAGTTTTCCCAGTCATACGAAAAATGTTCTGTAACTTATAAATGCTGTGTGTTCAAATTTTCTGGCCATATATGGTCAGTAAAATGTATTTGCAAAACGACGCATGAGCGAGCTCTAAGTACTCATCATTTGTACCGTTGTTATGGTAACATTATGTTACCTTGGCAACGACTGGTCTGATCTAAAACGACCTGCTTGGTATCAGCTTTTCAAATCTGAGATTATGCGCAGAAAGTCATATGCCTTGTGATTTGTAGTAGAAAGTGCTAAACTTCACTAGATATATATTAAAGTGCGATGTTGTCACCTAATTCGATAGAAAAGCAAGCTATACATGCGTCATTTTGTAACTGGATTCTTCAATTTACCTATTTAATGATCTTTATTCTGAAAATATTATCCTACCGTGAATGAAATACTTATGTTACAATAAATACTGCTATTCGACATACAAGAATCTTGTTTATCGTTCTGACTAAATCACTAGATTCTAGAGGGTTTATATCAAGCAATTTAGTACTGTACTCCGTTTGAACGCTTTGAGCACTTCTTTGTGAGAATAGAGATATGAAAACCAAAACTATCAAGCTAAATTGCAATTTGTGAGTCATCCGTACCACGACTTATAAGGCATACACAGAAAGTTTGTCAGTTTGGGTTGCCTGTGCTTCGACTGGCGCGAAACAACTTGTTATACCCTGTTTGTCACCCTGATTAAGGACGACATCAGCCACCAACCAACTAATAGAGAGAAAGACTGAGATATAACAAAAACGCGTCCTTCAAACCCCCAACTTAGCAGCACTGGTATCACGCCAGTGTAAAGCTCCGTTCAAATATCACAGTCGTTTCCAAGCTCCAGGAATACATCGTAGGACTCGCGGTTGCAGTTGCCGTCTGGAGTAAAAACATATTTATGAAACGTTCCATCGATGCACACCACTGAAAAAAAGAAAGAACCTTTACATTCAGTTTCTCAATAGAACTCGCGGAGTTTTGTTGGACGTCAATCAAGGCGTTTCCACGTTATTCCAGGGCACGTGACCTTCAAAACTTTGTGTATCCATTGAAAGACACCGTACTGTGATTGACGTCCACCAATATCTTATTTTGTCACGACGGCAAATTGTACGCTTCCACGAATGCAATTGAGAAGCACTGTAATTAAGTTATTTTTACTAGCGATAAAAGCAATATCGTCCAATGAGCCTGCGTTTGTCTTGGTCAGCACCAAGGAAGGATCAAGAGAAACGCAGGCTCTGGGTACGAGATTGCGATGCCAGATTAAGCATAGCGACATACGAACTCAGATGAAGAATTTTTTGGCTAAAAATTTACCCAGATTACAAAAGGGTTAACTAACAGAGAAGGACTGTCTACGCTTTAGGTTGTCTTTAACGGTGCTCACTTACCAATGACAGAACTCGCCTGTCCAAATGCACATACACAAGCTACTTCAGCGGGTACAGTAAAGTTAGCTAAACCCCATTGAGACTCCACGTAGCGGCCGAGAAAACCAGCCTTAGAAAGACTTGAAAAAAACAATGAAACGTTAATACCACAGGAAACCCGATAAGACCTTTTCTTTCAAACTCAAGCAGAAATAATAAGCGCTTTTGGGGTTCCTGTGGGGCGGTACCACAGGTAACCCATGATATCATTAGGCAGTCGAGTCACCTTGATCTTTTGTTGAGTTTCGAGTCTTTAAGAGCGAAGATGTGTACTGTTCCCTTGTCACTAGAAACACACAGGAAAGAGGAATCATGACTGAAGTTGATGCTGTTGAAAGAACGAAATATCCAGGTTAGTTCCACAGAAAGTTTACTTTTTTTAACACCATCAGCTGATTGTATGATTCTCTTCTACCCCATTCCCCTACCCCTTATGGTCTGAAGTCCTGAGAATTTTTAAAAAAAGGTCTTAGAACACACTAGTGCTATGGGAAGGCCTGAAATGAACTCATATAGTTTACTACTCTAGTTTACAAAGAATATCCCTATTTGCCCAAAGGCAGTAAAAAGGTTAAATTATACTCTATTTTTAATAATAATAATAATAATAATAACAATAATAACAATAATAATCAAAATAATAGGATAAACTGATAATGACTAGTGGTTACTAGTTGGGACTGTTACTAGTTGGGTGTGTTGAATACAATAAGTGAATAAGAAGGGTTGCCTTAAAATAATAATAGTTGATAATAGTTGATAATGAGGCTATACCAGTAAAGGGTGGCTGGATCAGCTCCTCTTCTTAGCTCAATCAGTTGATTTCTGGACTGTGCATCAAATACTCGAATCAGAGTTCCCTGAAAAATGAGACTGGTTAAGAATGATTTCAAGGGAGGTGCCTGTTATCTAGAAAGGCATCACATAGCATCCTTCTTCATCTCATTCTCAAACCCTGCAATGCCTTCCACTGGCTGGCAATAGCACAGTAGCCTAAGTTCAGCCAGTATAACTTCTCGAGAGAGAGAGAGAAATTATTTTATTTTGAGAGAAATTATACCGGCTGAATGCAAGCAATAGCACGGGTGCTAGGAACAAGAATGGCTTTACCTTTACTTTCATTCTGAATTATTTTTCTACTCCAAAAGGGGATCGACTAGCCACCCTTAACCCCCCAGATCTACCCTTGCAACGACTCTATAGAACTTGCCACCCTTGTGCTCTTGTGAATATAATTCTGGTTCAACATTTACAATAAACAGTTTATCTAGGTCCTAGATTCATACATCAATATTTGTGGAAGAAAGACTAGAATTCAATTCCCTGAGAAAAACCAGGGTAACCAATACCTGATTCAAGTTAGTAATTTAACACAGGGTGACCAATGATATGTAGATTTTGAATATAGAAGTTGAAAAATTACTCTGCATACTCTACATACATATATGTGATTCCTACCATCTGTATAAGAAGTGAGCCACATTTTTGGACTGTATCCATCATATTGGACAGTGTGGCTCCAGAATCTATGTTCATTTTGCAAAGTGTAACAGAACCTTAACTCATAGTAAGTCTTTCAAACCATAAGTGAACATCTCTATGGGATTGTCGTGTTATTGATGCTGTTCTTCTATTTATTAGTGTTCCATTTCATTTGTTACACTTCTATCTTGATACAAGGCTAAGAGTATACATGAATCAGCTATTATGATATATACACATTTTACCCTTATTCATCCATAACGTACGAAAACATTTCTGTCTGTTTTGGCAAAGATTTTAAATGTTTTAAACAATACTTTGAAGTCCACTACCTTAAGTATCCCAGAACAAAATTAAACCAATATTACTCATTCATCTACGGAACTGTAAGCATACAACTGTCATAGAAATATATTGATTTAATAAAATGTGTGAGAAAAGTTTTGGATTCAAAAGATAGCCAAACCAAGTACCTAATGAAGAAATGGCGCCAAAGCAGTTAGAGCTTTCCTTTGAAATAATTTCACTTCTTCAGGAGTTTTACTAGTAATTTTTTTAAGATTTTGGTTGAAATTGTAGTTAGTTATCATCAGTTTATTGATAAAGTTGAGGGATTTAAAGCATAGGTTCATGAACTTTCTTCTCATGTGATGGCTCTTAAAAGAGCCGTTGTTTTGTGCTGTAAACAGCTTGGAACTGTTTACTTGCTGCTGGTGTACTTGGTGACAGCCTTGGTGCCTTCACTGACTGCGTGCTTGGCCAGCTCACCAGGGAGAAGGAGACGAACAGCCGTCTGGATTTCCCGAGATGTGATGGTGGATTTCTTGTTGTAGTGAGCAAGTCGGGAAGCTTCACCAGCGATGCGCTCGAAGACATCATTGACAAAGGAGTTCATGATGCTCATGGCCTTGCTGGAGATACCAGTGTCAGGATGGACTTGCTTCATGACTTTGTAGATGTAGATGGCATAGGATTCCTTTCTCTTAGATCTTCTCTTCTTCTTGTCACCAAGAGCGGCCTTCTTGCCGGCTTTCTTCTCTCCTTTCTTTCCAACTAAGGGTTTTGGTGGCATCTTTTCTTACTAAGTGAAGTTTTTGATCAAATCAAGTGAGTGACAACGCGGCGCGATCGGTATTTATATCGAAATCGAAAGAGATCGATTTACATGCGGATCGCAGGTACCGATTGCTGATTGGTGGAAAAAACGAAGTTTAGATTTTTGTATTGACATTAGTTGATCTTCTTTGTGATGTTGCTTGTATGTCGACGGTTGATTGGTGGATTTCGATCCTACTCTACTCATGTTTTTACTATAAATACCAGCAAACGTCTTCTTAGGATATCATAGCATTCAAATACGAATCAACGATACAAATTTCCAATTCAAAATGTCTGGTCGTGGTAAAGGTAAAGCAAAGGGCACCAAGTCCAAAACTCGTTCATCCCGTGCAGGGCTTCAGTTCCCCGTCGGTCGTATCCATCGACTTCTCCGCAAGGGAAACTACGCTCAACGTGTTGGTGCTGGTGCTCCAGTCTACATGGCTGCTGTCCTTGAGTACCTGAGCGCTGAAATCCTCGAGTTGGCAGGCAACGCTGCTCGTGACAACAAGAAGAGCAGAATAATCCCCCGTCACTTGCAGTTGGCCGTCAGAAACGACGAGGAGTTGAACAAGCTTCTTGGTGGAGTCACCATTGCTCAAGGTGGTGTTCTTCCCAACATCCAAGCTGTTCTTCTTCCCAAGAAGACCGAGAAGAAAAGCTCTTAAACAGTTCAACTGTTCAACACAAAAACGGCTCTTTTAGGAGCCACCACATGAATCGAAAGATCATGATCCTATGCTTAAAACTTCCCAACTTCATGACTAGCAATAAGCCCAAGTCAAATCGAAACTACGCTATAAAGTAAACATCTTCTTTGAAACAGTCTTAGACGGTATCTTTTGTTGCCAACTTATGATTTTTCGAGCGATGAAGTTGTGTCTGAATACGGTAGACTGCTTCATAGAAAATCATATCTTTTGGACCATTTCTATTACCCACTGATAAGAAATACCCCTTCTTTGATAAGATATAAACCGATAGCGGATGTCACTAACAAAAAATTTCCATGCCAAAAAAATTAACATTTTTTATCGAGAACGTTTGATGGAACTACTTTCATTCATGCGCCGGAACTTTAGCACGAAGCAAGCTTCAAGTAAAAATACCCCTCGTGTATCCAAACACAAACCATGGTTTTGGCTGTACGCAGGCTAGCAAAAGATTTACCGCGTAAAACTCTTCATGGAACTTCACTTTAAACCACAGTAAAGTTTCAGATTTCATGTCAATGTTTCGGCGGTATGTTTTGTAAAGATTTGAATTTACGCGCGTTCAAGCAGCATCTCTTTCGGAACGATACGAGTCTGTCAACATGACTAGTAAAAGATTTTCCGCATCAAGCTCTTCATGGAACTTCACTATAAACCACACTAGTTTTTAGCTAGTTATCTCTTCTTATAAACCACAGTAAAGTTTCAGATAAAAGTATCGTCGTGTCAATGTTTTGGCGGTATCTTATGCCGTAAAAATTTGAATTTGCGTTCGTCCAAGCAGCGTTTCTCAATGGAATGATCAGTAAGCCATGACACCAAAGGTTTCCTGTCCTGTGTAGATATTTTGAAAAACTCTATGGCGACAATTTTTAAATTATCAAAACCGCTTGCTCTCGCCTCATGCTAAAATAAAAGTGACCCTAGGAAGATAATATATGAAAAGCAATGAAACAAGACGACATTTCGTTGTCATATCGACATCATGCTGTCGAGATGTTTGAAGAAACATTTCTAAGACTATTTAGTTAGAGTTCGTTGTATTCTTATCAATGTTTTCTCTGGGCTTGTTATTAAAATGCCGAGTATCACCATGGAGGTTTCACTTATATGCTTAATATATTGTAAAGTCACATGTTAGTCATAAAGAAAACTTCTTTTGGAAAGAGCAGTTGCTCAACAAGAAGACGCTTCGTAAGATGTAACCGAGAAAGGCGTGCAAATGATTCAGAACTTAATATCTATCTTGTATGAGGTAGCATATAGGATCAAGACTTTATTAATATGTGGTGGCTCCTAAAAGAGCCGTTGTTTGTGAATGAGATGAGAAACTCATCTAACCACCAAATCCGTACAGGGTACGTCCTTGGCGTTTGAGAGCGTAGACAACGTCCATGGCTGTGACGGTCTTTCTCTTGGCGTGCTCKGTGTAGGTGACAGCATCACGGATGACATTCTCAAGGAAAACCTTGAGGACACCACGGGTCTCTTCGTAGATCAGACCAGAGATTCTCTTGACTCCACCACGACGGGCAAGACGACGGATGGCGGGCTTGGTGATACCCTGGATGTTRTCCCGAAGGATCTTACGATGACGCTTGGCGCCTCCTTTTCCTAGACCTTTTCCTCCTTTACCGCGACCAGACATTATGATTTAGGATTCGTTACCTGAGTAATGATGTAAAATATCGCGCTCAAGAGGGTTTTAAAGCATGAGGCCGAACCACCACGAAAACAGATAAAGCATAATCTACTTGAACTTTGAACAAAAACAGACAAATACTAATAGAAACAGCACGTCATCAGCTAATGAGGCAGCATTGTGATCCATGTTTTGATGCTCAGGATCAAAGTCATTAACTTCGTTGCTCATTTTCTTGCTAAATATCAACCCAATTGTGAAGATTTTTCACATGCTAGTAGTTCTTGATGGGATAAAACAGCAGATAATGTTAAATCAAGTAATAGTAAAGAAGCCAAGTTTCTATCTTGGTTAAAAGAATTGTGAGCTTCAAGCAATACTTCATTTGAATCGTGGCGGGATCAAACGTCAACCAATAGGATTAGTATGAAGATATTTTTGTCCAATCAAAGTGCAACTTTACGTCAACCAATCATAATAGAGCGCGGCTAGGATAAATTATAGGGATGAAATACAGTTGCATATCATTCTGTTCTGAGAATACTGCTAGAAAGATGGCTCGTACCAAGCAAACCGCACGTAAATCTACTGGAGGAAAAGCCCCCCGAAAACAGCTCGCCACCAAGGCAGCACGTAAGAGTGCCCCAGCAACTGGTGGAGTCAAAAAGCCTCATCGTTACAGGCCCGGTACCGTCGCTCTTCGTGAGATCCGTCGTTACCAGAAATCAACCGAGCTGTTGATCCGCAAGCTGCCCTTCCAACGTCTGGTTCGTGAGATCGCTCAGGACTTCAAGACAGATCTCCGATTCCAGAGCTCAGCTGTGATGGCCCTTCAGGAGGCTAGTGAAGCTTACTTGGTCGGTCTGTTTGAAGACACCAACTTGTGCGCCATTCACGCCAAGAGAGTCACCATCATGCCCAAGGACATTCAGCTTGCCCGCCGAATCCGTGGCGAGAGAGCTTGAGTGACTTCTCCTAGTCCAACAAAACAAACGGCTCTTTTAGGAGCCACCACATGCTAATAAAGTCAATGATATATGCTTGATATCTCAACTATATAAGCAGAGTTTCGCCCTATTATCAACACACATGACCATAAACAGAGAAGATTAAATACTTCTTATATCATGCTAGTAAAAGCCCGCTAGTTTGAACCTCACATCGCGCTAAATTTTTTGAGACCAACAGTAGGTTAGATCAGCAGAAAACCTACCTTGTAAGACTACTTTCTTCCAAATTTTTTAATCTTAATTGCTTATGAGAGCATTGTATCAAGGTGTGAAGGAAAGCCAAGGAGTAATAACCTCAATTCTAGGGTTAATGGCTTCATTCCATGTCATGTTGTGGGAGACTAGGGAAGCCACCATTGGTTTACCAGTTGTAGCTTGCTTACTAGAATATTATCCTTTACAGATAGTAAAACATTCACAAACAAACAAACCAGAGGGCTGTTACACAGGCTATGCATCATATTTACACACACATACCTTTTGTGATGCTGTTGCCAGTTGGGTTCCCTGTTGATTCACAGCCAGGCAAGCCAATTCTCCCTTATGAGCATTGATAGTGAAAGGTGCTGATGAGCTGTCAGGCTGCCTGTTGCTAAGATACTACAAGAAAACAAGAACAAAATGAAATGTGCTACTTTTACTACAATTTCTAGCAGTTGGGAATAGGCAATGTTTATTTTGACATAATTTCTGACTTCTTATTCTAGCTAATATTGTTCAAGTATAGTACTTCATGTAAAGCACAAAGGCATGTGGTGAATAAGAAGGAAATTTAAACATCGTGTAAAAAAAAACCAGTTGTGTCAAAATGAACCCAAAAATGGAAAGAGCACCTCAATATTAGTAAGAATGTTGTGACATATTATTAGGAAAATTGTATTGGATGGCCAGATGCATTGCTTTTGCCATCAAGCTCATCATGTCGTATATGTCCTATGAAGACTGCTTGATTTACTATTTAAAGGACTTTATCATACTAACCACAAGCTGTACGCTTCCACACTTGTGAGCTGGAAATACCAGCAGAGGTCTCTCAGTACTTGGACTTACTTCACATAAACCTAAATAAATTAAGAGTGAAGTATTTCTGTTCAGTAATACAAATCCTAGCATAAGGTTTTATAGCCTCCTTTGCAGCCATTGCTTGACGACCCTAAGAAGGGCTGCAAGGGCTTTGGCATGGAAGGTATAGATAGTACGCTAAGTCAACCAACCTTTAGGATTGTCTCTTGTGTCAAAGTACAGTACTTTTTGAGGGTCATTGGGGAAAGTATAGACATGTATTTTGTTCTTTAGAACAACAATCAGCTGATCTCTTCTCAATCTGACCGTCATTACTGGTGAGCCATAAGTGAATTCAAGAACCATCTTCTTGCAGGTATCATCCCAGATGCAAACTATATATAAAAAAAAACCAAAGTATTCAATCTAAGAAACAAAGTGTTAGGACAAAGAATACTCCAGTTTCAAATTCTCTGTTGTTCAGGGTTAGCCTCGGTTTTTTGTAGAATATTCATGTGTTCCAGTGAAGGTGTGTGAAATTTCAAACTATATGTATTTTTGAAGCATACATTCTTTACATTACCAATGGTGTTTGTGAATATTTAACACTAAAAAAATAATAACTTCGAGAATGTATAAACACGAAACACAACGCAGTAATTTGGAACTAGCATCAGAATCAGAATCGCAAGGAACATGTGCAGGCTCAGTGCTCAGAGCATAAATGGGATACCGAGTGCATATGTTGCTTCTGATTCTGATTTTGTTGCTAGTATGATGTAGGCTTAAATGATTTTTGGTCCTGTTATACTGTGAGGTACTCAATAAACTAAGGTAGTAAGCATGTACCTTTATCATTTGAGAATCTTGCTCCAGGGCCAGTGCCAACAATAGCAAGTAGGTTTGTTCTGTACAGCATGTGAACTTGTGATATCTGGTAGAGCTCAGTTATGTCTGGAGGTTAAAAATTACACAAAAACTCATGAACACAGAAGTATTTTCATTAAATTATAGTTATAATTTGAAGAACAGTAATGGAGAAAAAAATACAATAGTTTGATTCTTGGATGTGATTACTAATTTTAAAAGTATGGAGACTTTGCACCATCACGTGATGGCAGCCATGACAGGAAGCACAACAACAGTCTCATTCCCCTTAGAGACTGAATTCTTTCTCAGGTATAGTTAGATAAGGCCAAATTCAGTGGTTCCTACCTGTTGTCATGACTGCCATCACATGATGGTACAAAGCCTCTATTGTGGGCCAGCATGGGTCCCACATTTTACTTGCATTTTTTAGTACACAAAAACTTTCATATTAGTTTGTTTACTAGGAAAATGCATATGACAACTTGGATATTCCATGGTAAGTCACAAGAAGGCATCAAATAATTACGCAATCCCAAATTATTGAAAATGCCTGGGTATTTACTCAATAAATTCAAAACACAGCAATGCTTGAAGAGAAGTAGCAATGGATACTGCCAAATAAACAACAATATTACTGCATAATTATTTCTGATTGGCTGTATTTTTACGTTTAATAAAGTGGGATAAATAGCATACAATTCTTTGATTGCATGTTACATCATCCCAGCCATGTTGGTGCCATTTAACAAAAGTATAAATGGCACCAAAATGGCCGCCATGTTTTTGGAATACTTGGAATACATTTTTGTAAATCAGCATGACTGCTGAAAGACTTTCTGTGTTAATAAAGTTTAGTATTACTATATTTTATTATAATTATTTACATTTTAATCATTTACCTATAATTCTGGTTTTTTCAGCCAAGGGATCTGTGTTGTACACTCTAAATCCACCATCAATAGTCGACACAAAGCATCCTATTACAAAATAACAAGTCCAACAAAAACTAAATATAAATATACATTAAAGAAGGATTGCTCGTATCAAATGAGGATTAAGTTACTTATATTAAGATAGACTAAAAGGAAAACAGTTATAATCCAAAAAATGAGGGGAAAAAGTGTGGATTCTACAATTTCCAAATGACGACATTTTTCTTGGTCGTATGATTCAAGCTTTCAAAGCAAGCACTACAAACACTAAATATCGGAAAAAAGGATCTTGTACATTAGGAAAGTCTTACCATGGTCTTGGTTTAGTGCTATATGCGTAACTGCACTTAGCATTTTAGATGTTTTTTCTGTTTTTATTCACAGATCGCTTCCAGCTTCCGCCATTTTGGTGTTGTTTTGCTTAGCTCAGCAGCCGAGCCAGCTAGATGAATTCCTTAGGGAGGGGAGGGACGGTAAATTTACGGACAGAGATAACCTGATTGATGGCGGACGTGAAAGAAATCGCAATTTTGAAAGACTTTTCGTTCGAATATGTATGTGAAAATCAAGAGTATTTTAAGCTTAACAGAGAATCCAAAGGAAAGGGATTTGAGAGGATCAACGGAAAGTGAGAATTGCTTGTATTTTGTGTTGAAAAGGTCAGAAATGTTTCAACTTCGTTCCCATGCAGGTTGATCACGATCATTAATGCTGTCAAATACTGTCGCGAGAAACCGCAGTATATACTGTACTTTTTAGTTTACGAAATGTTTATTTTTAACGCTGCAAAAAATTATATCTTTTGCTATTTTAAAGCTATTGATGTCATATTGGATTATGAAGCAAATCTTCATTTTTAGAGATATAGGACAAAATCTAGGATTTCACTTCCAGAAGTGTTGGGTATCGGGTACCTGATTCAAAATAAAAATTAGACACTTTTTTAAAATTCAGCATCTTATTGTTTGAGCGCGCGCACGTTCGTGGGCTGAAATCGAAATTTGAAGAGTAATATAACCACTGGCAGCCCACTCGAAGTTCCTGATCACGTGCTCTATTATTCAAGTGAAACATCAAAACTCGTAATTATAGTATAAGAGTTCGTATAGGTTTTGCACAACCACATGAAAAAGAATTCAATTACCGAGAGCAAAGGGACTTTATTGTTCTGCCATCTACAGGCAGTACAAGCTGTATTAGAGAGTTTTAGATTTACGTTCACGGCAAACGTGAAACGTCAGTTGACCAGTAAAAAATTCTTTTAAATTACTGGAAAAAAATCGCAAAAAAGTCCAAGTAGTAGAAAAACAAAAGAGTATTTGCGCTTGGTGAGAAGGTTTGTAAAAGGTAAAGTAAAATACAGGAAAACTATGAAAACGTGGTCACGTTTGCCGTTTGCGGGGAGGAAAAAAAGTCAATCTAAAACTCTCTAATATGGGCGCCGACACGTGATGGTGGTAACTCCTCTATTAGTAGCAACCGTTCTTAGTGTCACGCTCTAACCTAATTAGTATTTTAATGTATAGAGTGAAGGCATTTAATCTGTGAAAGAATAAATACTAGAAAACGTGTAATAGTCAAATAGAGACAAAAACAAACCAAAAACCAAAAACMAAAAACAAAAAAACAAAAAACAAAACGAAACAAAACAAACAAACAAAAAATGGAATTCTGGAGTCAAGTCTACTAATATTATATATCAGTCTTTTATTTCTATTTCACAGGTTTAGTGACTTCACACTATATGAATATTGTCCATTTTTATCGTAATTTATATTAATCATTAGGTGGACTACTTGTAAACTGGCGCATATATAGCGTTGACGAACATTGACGTCAGGAATCTTTTCTCATTAAAATTTGCCAACCGCAATAATGAAGATCTCTTTGTTTCAGTAGCCAATCGATCTCTGGTTTCAATAGGTGACTTCAGCGCAAACTTTGCTATATATAGCTAAGCCTACGTTTTATTCTAATTTTTATTCTATTCTATTCTATGTCTTCCAAAAGCTGGTCCTTTAAGCAAATGTCTTTAGTGCCTCTTTAAAGTCAATTTCCTCATCTTCTAGAAAACTTAAGCGTACAAATATCAGTGATCGAACTACGACGTTGCGAGAGGACTCAATACGTAATATCACATTTTTGGCTTCTTCCGTAACAGGCACTCGATATTCAGGTGTATCGGGTTCGCCATCCATCGGATCGTATTTGACTACTGTCGGTTCGTACGACTTGTAGCTTTTTGGCTTACAAAGGGCTTTGACGAGGACGCACCACCTAGTCGACTCGGAGAAGACACGCTCAGAATAAGCGGCGTGACCGGCATACATAATACTAGGAGATACAAAGATAGCAGCCGCCCAGTTCCTTATTCCAAAATGCTCTTCGTTCAAGGCATAATGTCCCTCTGGTGGATTTATTCCGTTAGAACCAGATGGAAGAAACCCCTTCTCCAAGATGGGCTGCAAATTTTTGTAGCGAGTTCCATGCCATACGGGCTCCCAGGTTTGGATAATGTTATTCCACTGTGCTCGTGTAGACGCGTCTAGAGATCTAAAGTCACGAACAAGCTCCTTCGCGATTACTTCTCCGCGGTATTCAACAAAACGAACACTTGTAACAAGGCTCTTTTCCCTGAGTTGCGCAACGAGGGACGATATGCAATCGGTTGACGCAGCCTGGAATAGACCTTTCATCTCGTCAGTGGCACATTCTTCAAGGGCAGTATTTCCAAATCCGTTCTTTATATTTGTAGCTGCACCATGTTCAARTAGCAGCCCAACAACTAGTGTATGACCAAAATAGGCTGCGCCATGAAGGTGTACTGCCATCTCGCTGAGTCTTGTTAACCGACGCACCTTTTGTCAAAAGTAGCTTACTTGTGTCGTAAAAACCAGACTTGCATGCGAGGTACAGCAACGTGCGTCCATGTTCGTCCACGTCATCTATATTATTTAATTGTCCGCGGTCGATTTTAGAAGCCAGTGCTTGTGTGTGACCAGCTGCTGCGAGTGTGAAATGGTCGAGTTCCCTGACGAAATAGGTCAATTTATTAAGTCTACCTCGCTGGTACCTGTCTGCCGTTGAAGTAAGAATGTGATTGGCTATAGAGATCATTGCGCGGTTCTGCCGCGAAGATTGGTGGATTTGATTTCTAAAAGTTTGCTTGATAACCTCTCTTGAAGCAACGGTCGGAAGACCCAGAACATCATATGGATTAAGTGGGAACGAGATGTTGACATGTCCTCCACCAGCTGCATCATAAGTTATCAAGGAATACTCTTCGCTTCTTTCTCTTTGAAAACGATAACGATTACGCCGAGATTTGTTCATGATACGGCCGATAAATCAAAAACGTACCTGAAATATGAAAACAAAAGGGACAAGTTAATAATTGCACAGTTCAGTAACACGTTAAAGAAAGTCCGGACGCTGGGAGAAATTTTGGATGGCATTTTACGTTTCTAAATACTGTATTTCAGTTTTTAGTGTTGTGAACTGCGGTCAAGAACTTTATTTGCTCATGGGGCTTCTATGATTATCTTATTTCACCGCTTTCGAAGGTTCTGATTTTTGTTCCGGTGGTTCCGCGTTCTTTTGGTTCCGGTGTACCAGATGTTATTTTCAAAGCTAGAAAAGCATATGCCACTGAGACATTGATTTGTAATCTTGGAAAACGCAATTTCTCATCCAGGTTTTAACACTAAATTGTTAGCTAAATACCAAACAACGATTATGGAGAAATTAGTAAACGTGGACAGCTGTTTCGGTCTGTATTGGGCTTCGTCAGCACGGTGTATCTAGTGAGCTGGTAGAATCCCACGAAAAATAGTACATCAGATGTGGCGGTATTAGTTGTTTCGGATTTCTATGGTTTGGGATCCCCGTGGCACAGAGGTAGCTGTTTATCGATAGAGCTCAAATTCTGCTTCTAAAATCTCTCTCCAGTTGTCGGTCTGAAAAAAATTGTTACTTCTGCGAAAAAGCCTCAAAAACGCTCGTTTTGGGTTTCGAAAGTTCGAAGGTTAATGCGGAAGCACGAAACCTCGGAGTTATTTTTGACAGACATCTTACTATGTCTAGTCATGTGAATAATCTAAGCCGCACAGCCTCATTAGCAATTAGAAATATTGGTAGAATTAGGAAGTATCTTGATCAAACGAGCACAGAACGCCTAGTACATGCTTTTGTGACGTCTAAATTAGACTATTGCAATACCGTCTTGCATGGTTTACCTACAAAGCATTTAAATAAGTTGCAGCGCCTTCAAAATTCAGCTGCCAGACTAATAACTAAAACTAAGCGCAGAGAACATATAACTCCTGTTTTACGTCAATTGCATCCCCTGCGTCAGGACCATGGTCAAACCATGGTCAAACATGATTAAAACATGTTAGAACATGGTCAAGCAAACATGGTTGACCATGGTTTGTCCATGATGTGACCATGTTTTGACCATGGTCAACCATGAACGTTAAATTGCACAAGTTTAACCATGGTCAACCATGGTCAGTTAGTGTCTTGCTATGTAAAAGAACAACCATGGTTTGACCATGGTCAACCATGTTTAAAAGCAAAATCAATACCATGGT